ATCAACGCGGACAACGGGCACCTGTTCGCCCTGAGGTCGCTGGACTACGAGGCCCTGCGGGCGTTCGAGTTCCGCGTGGGCGCCACAGACCGAGGCGCCCCCGCGCTGAGCAGCGAGGCGCTGGTGCGCGTGGTGGTGGTGGACGACAACGACAACTCGCCCTTCGTGCTGTACCCGCCGCAGAACGGCTCTGCGCCCTGCACCGAGCTGGTGCCCAGGGCGGCCGAGGCCGGCTACCTGGTGACCAAGGTGGTGGCGGTGGACGGCGACTCGGGCCAGAACGCCTGGCTGTCGTTCCAGCTGCTCAAGGCCACGGAGCCCGGGCTGTTCGCCGTGTGGGCGCACAACGGCGAGGTGCGCACCGCCAGGCCGCTGAGCGAGCGCGACGCGGCCAAGCACAGGCTGGTGGTGCTGGTGAAGGACAATGGCGAGCGTCCGCTGTCTGCCAGCGTCACGCTGCACGTGCTCCTGGTGGATGGCTTCTCCCAGCCCTCCCTGCCGCTCCCGGAAGCGGCCCCGGACCAGGCCCAGGCCGACTCGCTCACCGTCTACCTGGTCGTCGCCTTGGCGTCGGTGTCCTCGCTCTTCCTCTTCTCGGTGCTGCTGTTCGTGGCGGTGCGGCTGTGCAGGAGGGACAGGGCGGCCTCGGGGGGTCGCTTCTCGGTGCCTGAGGGCGGCTTTCCTGGCCACCTGGTGGATCTCAGCGGCACCGGGACCCTGTCTCAGAATTATCAGTATGAAGTTTACCTGGCAGGAAGCTCTGAGACGAGCCAGTTCAAGTTTCTTAAACCAATATTCCCCAACTTCTTGGATGAAGGGGTTGGTGGGGACATGTAAGGAAACTCCAACGCTGGGAATCGTTCTAGGTTTAATTAGGAATCTAACTGACAACACATAGTGATAAATCATAGAATTCATTAATCAATCTATAAGTTCCCAATCCTCTTGTTTACATAGAGCCGCGTATTCACATATAAATAATTATCGTGATATTTATAGTTATTTCAATCTTCTGGACTATTTCATATTTCCTCTATTTTTTCTTGTTGCTGTTAGCCTTCTCACATATTCCATGTGCACTCAACAGCAGAGAAATGGTGTTTCTTAGGATTGTTGTTGTTGTTGTTATTTGGTCAGATTTTTGGAAGCCACAGGTGTTTTCAGATTCCCAATCTTTGAGCTTGTTGATTGATATCCTGTTATGATTAAGAGAATTGTGTTCCAAACTTTCTGATTATCATCAGCATGAATCTAACTCTACTGTAAATATGGTTCTCAGTTTTAAAAATAATTTTCATTTATCCAAAAGTTTTAGTAATGTTGTAAATTGTTGGATTTCTGTTGTGTTGATTCAAAACCACTATTCTTCCCTCAAATGAACCAGTATTTTATCTGGATGGTGTTTTCTTAGTTGAGTA